CCAAAGGCAGCCACAGCTGCTGTCTGTGTCCCTGCAGAGGTGTCCCCTGCTGCTGGCCCTGTCGGAGAGTCCCCTGGCACCCACCCCACGGAGGAGACTGCAGGGTCAGGCAAGGGGTCAGTGGAGAAAGCCCTGCCGGAGCCTGAGACGGCTGCAGGGCAGGAGACGCCCAGCCAAAAATCTACCAGCTGGGCTGTGGCACCACCACCGAAAGCAGGTCGAGAGAGCAGCCTGCCCACCAAGGCACCCACCGCGCGGCCGTGGAGGCACCAGCCGCTCCTCAGCCCGGCGCAGCCCAGCGACAGCAGCAAGGACATCGTGCAAGCCTTCATCAGTGAGATCGGTGAGTGGGAGGGCTGCGGGGCACTGGGCTGAGTGTCGCCAGCCGGCGAGGCTACGGTGCTGCCGGCAGCCCGGGTAGCGGGACCGGTTCCTGGCACTTCTGGGGGCAAGGGTGGCAAAGCTGCTCCCTCAGGCTTGCAGTCTGTTCCCAGCGCTCTGCCAGGACGTGGCCTCCAGTGGATGGTCTGGGCTGGCTGTGCCCAAACTGGTCCCTCCTGGGGCTGTGGAGCCAGGTGCTCCTGTTCTCGCTGCGGGAGACGTGGAACTGCTGCAAGGCTCTGCCGCTGCTTCTCCTCCCCAGCGCTTGTCCTGTCGCCCGGGGAGGATGGGGCTGGGGTGCATCCCTGTGGTGCCGGGAGGGTTTTGGCTGACCTGACTTGCTCTGCTCTCTCCCTGGCCCAGGGATCGAAGCCACCGACCTGTCCAGCCTGCTGGAGCAGTTCGAGAAATCTGAAGGTGCGGATACGGCGTGCTGTCCCCCGCGGAGCTTCCTCCGTACTACGCTGGCCTCCCTGGGCTGCCTGTACTTCCTGTGGTGGGGTGGGACTGGGGGGCCGGGACGCTGCTGCCTGTGGGCTGGTGTTACCCTGCCCCGGTGCTTTGTTTGGGGGGGGGGGGGGTCTCTGCCCCCATTTCCTACTTGGCCTGTGAAAGCGGCTGGGGGTCCCTGCGGCAGCCGAGGGGGTGAGAGCACAGGAGGGAAAGGGGGTGTGCAGGGAGGGGGGTTTCAGGTGCTGTGAAGCCTCTCCTTGGCTGTGTCTGGGGTGCTCTGCATGTCCCCTCATATACGGGGTCCGTCCCCTGCCCTCCTGCCCCAGCTTCCCACCACCCTCACCCACCCGCTCTCTTTTCAGCCAAGAAGGAGGAGGTTCCCCTGCAGCCCCCTGAGGACAGGCGGCCAGCAGGGAGCTCCGGGTGAGTACCAAAACCAAACCCAGGATGGAGCCCGGCAGAGGGCTGAGCCCTGCCTCCAGTGGGGGCATGGGGCATCTCTCAGTCCTGGCAGGGTCCCAACTGCGCTTGGGCTGTGTCCACCGGCCCAGAAGGTGCTGAGCTCCTTGCTGGACTGGGGGCCGGAGCTGGCACTGAGGAGGGAAAAATTGGGGGAAGTGGTGATGGGCATGACTGGGCTGTGCAAGTTCCATCCTTGCAGCTCTCTCAGATCCTCTGTCCCACTGGCCTGGCTGGTGGGACAACTCGGGTGGGTGTCCAGGCGTGGGGACTGGGGCTGGGCTTTGGCTGCTGCATTTGACAAAGCTCCTTTCCCCTTCTCAGGCCCGAGACCCAGCAGGACAGGAAGCCCCCAGATGGCCTGCAGGCCTCTGAGCTGGCCAACGTGGCAGGTAATGCCCGGGGCGAGGCAGGGGAGCCCACCGTGTCCTGGCTGGGGGAGACACCGGGGCTTGAGGGGAGCTGGGCTGGGAGGGAGCCTGGGCTGGGCGGGTTGCAGCAGGGCAGGCTGCTCTTGAAAGCTCTCTGGTGCTCTCGCAGGCCTCACCCCCCCAGCGACGCCCCCCCACCAGCTCTGGAAGCCATTGCCTGCTGTCTCGCTGCTGGCCAAGGCCAAGTCACCTGGGTCCGTGCCCCAGGAAGGGCCCCAGAAGACAGCCAAGCTGATGAAAGCCAAGCCGCTGCCCCCAAGCAAGCTCCAGGGGAAGAGTCCAGCGCCGGCCCCCCCCAGCTCAGCCCCCAGCCACGTCTGCTCGGGAGACCATGACTACTGCATCCTGGGTGCAGCACGGACGGAGAGCAACAGCAGCCCTGGCACACAGCCCCCTGCCGAGGGTGGCTCCCGCTGGAACGTCAAACACCACCGGGACATCACTATCAAACCCATCTCCTCCTTAACCAAACGGACGCTGGACCAGCCCAAGTCCACCCCACCAGCTCCCACCACCACCGTGGCGTCCAGCCAGGAGTCCCTGGGGACAGCCTCCCTAGCTCCCCTGGATTATCGGACTAGCGTCCCCAGTAAGGCCACCGCTGGGTGCAGCAGCCCCCCCACCTCGGTGCTCCTGTCTCCAGCTGCATCCCCCTGCCGGGACCAGGAGATGCGGACTCCTAGTGCCCAGCCCAGCCGTGCTGCTGCCAAGAGGTCCCTGCGCTGCTACCGGAGACCCCGGGACTCGCCCAGCCCCTCTGCCGGCAGCTGGAGGGCTGGCCGGAGCCGTGCCAGCCGTTCTTTCAGCTCCAGTTCAGATGGAGCTAGCGGGTCCTCATCTTCATCTTCATCCTCATCCTCCCGATCCCGGTCACGGTCACTCTCTCCACCACCCAAGCGGTGGCGAAGGTAAGCGGTGGAGCATCTGTCTGCTTACTCTTTGGGCAGTTGGTGGCTGATCTTTTGTGAGGGTGCCCAGACATCTCTTTATGGACCTTCTTGTTGGCTGTATTTGATCTTTTTGTACTTGTGGTCCTTCTGATGTGGTGCCTGGCTCGCAGAGAGTGGGGGAGCTGCTGCCACCCCCTGCCAGTGAGTGTCTGGCTGAACCTCATGTCTGGGCAGGTGTGCCTGAAAAGCCACCACTGAGCCAGGCTTCCTTACTTCTGAAACACCAAGGTATGAGTCCTTGGCTGCACCTTTGCTTTTGGATGCTTTTTCTGGGGTGTTATTGCAGGTATTGGTGTTTTTGCTGTGGTGCTGGTGCAGCCCTAGGCGTAGAAATGAGAGGAGCCACAGTGGAGCCCCCCAGGGAGCTGCTGGAGGCAAGCAGAGAAAAACCTGTCTGGCTTGGCTGCCTCAGGGGCTCCCCGTGCTTCTTATGGAGGTGGCTGCATAGGAAAGTGGGGCGGCTTGGTCTCTGTGGGACACGTTTCTTTTGGAGACCTTGTGGATCTGAGTGACACACAGCCTGTCCCAGCTGGGGTGAGAGGCGCTGGAGTTGGCAAGGGATCCCTCATCCAGATCCCTCCTCCACCCTTCCCTGGGTGTTCAACCAGTTCTGGAGACATCCCAGGTCACAGGGCATGAAAGGCTTGTCCAACCAAGGCCCCTCCATCGGTGGCCAGTAGGTGTGGAGGCTGGAGCTGGACAGGGCATGTGTATAGTGCCATGTCCCAGGGATGTGCAGGTCGGGGGACTTGCCCTGTCTGGCTTATCTTTCCAGCAAATGTAGCTGGTCCTGTGCTGGGAAATGTCCCCATGGACTGTGCCATCCTGACCTGCTGTCCTCCAGGAGAACATGTGGCAGTACCAGGCAGCACACCCCACTCAAGGCCTGCCTTTGCCTGTGGTGGGGACTGCCCGTGGGCAGCATGTTTAGAGAGGGACCCTGCTGCTGGCTGGAGGCAACACAGCTTGATGCCAGAGGGGCTTCAGTCCTGCTGTCCTTAAGCTTTGCCTGGCCTTGCCAGAGAAGCTCTTGCAGGCGGGAGGCTGCAGGCACAGAAGCCCAGCCCTCTCCCAGTGCATGCCATGGCCCTTGGTGTGGTTGGAGGCATGTACAGTCTCCATGCACATGGCTGTTAAATGCAACGTGGATGTGATGGCTCCAGTGTCATCTTGTGCACCATGTGGGGCTCAGCACGGCAGTCCTTGTCCCTCCTGGGCCCTTGGCTGGTCACAGCCATGTACTGCATGTTTGCCCCGTAACCATTTCTTGCTTTTCAGAGGCTGTGCCTGTTGTGAGCCTGCGGTGTTTGGATCCAAGCGGAGCAATATCTCTGTAGTGTTGTTACTTCCCTGACAAACTTGGGCAGAGGTTTTCATAGCCCATCTCATCCTGGGGATGTGTCCTGTCCAAGTTGGGTGCTGGGTACCTCAGGGAGGATGGAGGTCTTTTTCTTCTCCAGTCTTGTGGTGCTGGGCATGGGGAGGGCTCAGCACTGAGATGTCTCTCTCCTTCTCCCAGGTACCGCTCAAGATGTTCCCACAGCTCCTCCTCCCGCTCCAGCTGTGGGTCGTGTGGCAGGTCCCGGGACAGGTCCTCATCCTCGTCATCAGCATCCTCCTACTCATCCAGGTCCACATCCCGCAGCCAGTCCCGCTCCCCATCGCCCCGCAGGAGGAGTAACAGGCGGAGAAGGTGAGTGTGGCCACCCTGCAGGGGTGTGAGCTCCCCCAACCCATCTCCCGGCCTCCTGTGTCCCAGGCAGGTGCGGACCCACTCCTTCAGTATCTCAGTTGTGTCCAAGATCATGGTTTTCTGGCACCCCCATGACCTTGTAGTTTACATGTCCGATTTCTGCCCTGCCAGATACAGTTATGATGCACAGGATCACTACCAAAGGCAGAGGATCCTCCAGAAGGAACGTGCAATAGTGAGTGTTGGATGGGTGGGAAGCTGGGGCTGGAGATTTGGGGGTCCCTAGCCCCTCCATCACTTCAGAAAGCCATGGGCTTTTGCAGTCTTGCAGGCAGCATTGCTGGGAGGCTTTGGCCAGGGCATGGTGTGATGGGTGGTGCTGCCAGGAGGGTGCTCAGTGCAAGGGGTCCTGCTCACCGGGAGGGCTGAGAGATGCAGAGTCCCCCCATTCCCATCTGACATGACGGTGCATCCCTTCCTGCAGGAGGAGCGGAGAGTTGTGTTCATTGGCAAGATCCCCAGCAGGATGACACGGTCGGAGCTGCGGCACCGCTTCTCTGTGTTCGGGGACATTGAGGAATGCACCCTGCACTTCCGCTCCGAGGGGTAAGAGCTGCAGGGACGTGGGGCTGCCCCTCCCCAGGGATGGCTCCTCTCGGCCCTTTTACCGTTCCTCAGGGGGATGGTGCAGACCAAAGGGGGACAAACATACTGCATTGCTGTTGATCTCCTTTCTTCTCCTCTGGCTCTAGGGACAACTATGGCTTTGTCACCTACCGCTATGCCGAGGAAGCCTTTGCTGCCATTGAGAGCGGGCACAAGCTGCGGCGTCCAGACGAGCAGCCCTTCGACCTGTGCTTCGGTGGCCGTCGGCAGTTCTGCAGGAGGAACTATGCTGATTTGGGTGAGTTGTGTGGCCCCCAAGTTGGGGGGGTGGCACCCTGGGTCATCTTTCCTTCCCAGAGGTGTAGGGGTCCCCATCCTTGGGGTCAGTCAGGCTCAGCTGGGCAAGGCCACGTCCAGGGATAGTCCTGCCCCGAGGTGAGGTTGGACGGGGGCTCCCCATCCCTCCAGCACCATGATGGAGGCCAGGTCCAGTCATTCATCAGACCAGCTCTGGATCTGGAGGTCAGCACGTGAAGCGAGATGCGAAGGAGTTGCTGCAGGGATGGTCAGAACAGTGTCAGTGTCCCCATGGCTCACGGCAGCCTCTCCCTGTGTCTTCCAGACTCAAACCGGGAGGATTTTGACCCAGCCCCCGTCAAGAGCAAGTTTGACTCCCTGGACTTCGACACGCTGCTGCGGCAGGCACAGCGCAGCCTGCGGAGGTAGCGGCAGGCGAGGCGGAGCACCCGCCCCCACTTTTATACTCAAAATACAAAAGACAAAAAAAGTATGGAGAGCGAGAGAGAGAGATGGGGTTTTTAAGAAAAAGAAAAAGGAAAAAAAGAAATTTGTTTTATAACCAATATTTAAGGAGGACAGGTCATTTGCCTTTGACCGGAGGGGCCCAGGCGAGTGGCAGCCCCAGGCTTGCCCCAGCCATGTAATAAATGCGGATGCCCAAACAGCAGCGCTGCCTCGTCTCCTCCTTCGTGTGGGCTCGGGCTGTGCCCCCTGAGGACCCTGGGGGCTCTGTGCTAGGATCTGGCCCCATGAGAGATAGCACAGGATGGGGACTGAGTGCAGGACTGGGGCGTCTTGGGAAAGTGGGGCAGGACTGGGGTCACCAAGCCGCTCTGAGGGGTCTGTGGCAGCCCCCAAATGACCTGGCATGGGGTGAGCACCTCTTTGGGGACAGGCAGCGCGGATCCCTCTGACTGTCTCTCGGGCTCTGCTGGAGTGAGGACTCTCCACCCGGGCCCTGAGGCACCCGGATGGGTTTTGGGGCCACCTGCACCTCCCGTGGTGGCCACAGAGGGGCAGTGCAAGATCCTCCTCCACCGCCGCTCCCTGCTGTGGGCTGGGGTACAAGGGGCTCAAGCCCTTGGCAGTTGTGCAGGCAGGGCTCTGCCTGCTCTGAGGGCAGCACGCGCAGCTGCGATGTCTGCCTGTCCCCTTCGAGCCCACCTGTTGGTTTTGGTCCAGCTCGCCAGGAGGAGAGGGATGCCTGACATCTCATCTCTGGGTGTCCCCGAAGGGAGAGGTGTTGGTGTGACTGCAGAGATGTTACAGGCACCTGCGGCGGCCAGAGCACAGTGGGATGGCGCTTGGCAGAGGAAGGATGGACAGTGATGGGGAGGGGATGCAGGGTGTCAGTCCAGGCCCCGCCAGTGCGCTGCAGTTCATGGAGAAGAAGAGCGATCCTAGGTGTCCCCCAAGGGAGCGTGCTTGGGCCTGCTGCCGAGCATCGTCCCTGCACCTCGCCCTGAGCCAGCAGTGCTGGGACCCTGCACCCCGCTCTTGTGCTGGCAGCCAGAGAAATGCCCTGCCTTGGGCTGCTCCTGGGCTGGGACAAGCTCGGGGATCCCCGTCTGAGCTGGCAGTGCTGGCTGGGAACCCTGAGATGGCATCGAGCACCTCGGCCCTGGGACGGGTTTGGGCAGGGTGCAGTGGTACCTGGTTGGGCTCCTTCTCAGCGCGCGCCCTGGGCTGGGGGAGCCTGCAGCCACCCGGCTGGGCTCTGCGGAGCTGGGGGAGCGTGGAAGGAAGGGACGGGCGGGGGATGGACCTCCCCAGGGCTCCTCGCAGTGCCTGGGGTGGGAGAGGACTGGTCAAAGCCCTCCTAGACCCCTTGCTGCCTTGATGGAGGCAGCACCCACTCCTCTAGTAGGAGAGCAGGGAGGGGAATGGCAGCGATAAACCCAGGGTGGGGGGTTCAGTCAAGCTGATGCTGCCATCATGCTCAGGCCTCTGAGGCACTTTGGGGGTGTGCCTGGGATGTGCTGCAGCAATCTTATGGTCTGGGATTAGCACAGTGGCTGGAGCCCTCTCCGCTCCCCTGGATGGAGCGGGATGCTCCTGGTCCTGCCTGCACGCTGGGCGACTCGTACCGCTCCGTAGTTCGTCCCAGAGAAGTGTCCACGGTTCCCCGGGTATGTGAGGTGCGGTGAGGCTGCCAGCGGGGTGAGTCCCAGGGTGAGCCCCCACCTTGTCCTCTCGTGCCTGGCCCTGGACTTTGCACAAGGGAGGGTCCAAGGAGGCGGCTGCAAGCAAAGGTGTGAGCGGGAGGCGGGCAGGGGGCTGTTAATCAGTAATGCAGCTCTTCCCAGGGATGTCGGCTTGGCAGGAGAGGGTGAAAGCCAGGGCCCGGCAGGGACTTGGGGTGAGGATGTGAGTGTCCCTTTTTGAGAGTCCATGCAAAAACCCCTTCTCCTGCAGCACATGTGCAGCCCCTCTCCTGCCCAGGGCAGCTGGAGCGACCGCGGTGCTGACAAGCATCTCCCTGGTCTCCGAGCTGCCACAGCGATGCTGAGGGTGTGTGGATCCAAGCAAGAGTGTTGCAGGGACATTGCCTGTTCAACCAGTGGCAAGAACACCCGCAAGCTGTAGGCTGATTCAGGTCTGAGGAATGGCTTGTGTGCTCAAGAGCTGCACTGGTTTCTCCAACTGCTTTAGGTGGTCTGAAAGTTTCTTCACAGCCTTTCCTCGAACCTTTGCTGCAGCTGTGGAGGCAGAGAGGAGATAGGAGTGTCATGGGGAAGCCGGAGCTGGGCATGAGGGATGTCCCCTGGCAGAACAACCCCTGGGGTCCCGGGCATTGCTACCCCTTGTGCTTGAGGTATGTGCATTTGAGCAGCTGTGTGACCACGGCGTCACCCCAAATGCGTGTGCTGTTGACCGCAATGTGAACAAGGCTGAGTCCTCGCGTTCCTAGGGCTGGGCTGCTCATGAACCCCTCTCCTCGCTTCTGCGGGTGAGGAAAGGCAGGGGGTGTGAAAGCATTTGTGTTGCCAAAAGAATTAACACCCTGCTGTTGTGCCCTATAAATCTTTCAAGTGTTGGAGGCTGGCTTTATCCCCCCGTGTTACAGCTTAATGGTTTCCGTTAGCAATAACCTGGCCCTGTGTTCTGGGGTTATTGATTTAAGGTCTGTTGCGGAGGGTGTGAGAGTTGCAGAAAGGTGTTTTCCTGCCGCCCAGCCGGCGGCAAAGGCGCCGTTGCAAAGAGGGGGCAGGAGAGCAGGAAGCGGTGTGCAGGCAGCTCTCTGGAAGTGTGGGTGCTGGAGGGAGCTGCCTGGAGAGGATCGGGGGAGAGCAGCGAGGAGCAGCACTCGGAGCATGTGCCTTGCTCAGACCTGCAGCCAGCAGGCAGGGCTGCAGCCACAGAGGTGACCGTAGCTGTCGTGATAGCAGGGCAGCATGGATGCATCCCCTGAGCTCTAATACAGGCGGGAGATGCCTGCCTTTGGCTCTTGTTGGAGTTGTTGCATGCGGGGATGGCCCCTGGCTCAAAGGCAGGCAGTTCTGTGTGCCTCCCCCATGCCAGCCGGACCACCCTGCTGTGCTGCAGTTTGGGAATTTGGACCTGGAGCTCCCAAGGCAGATCCATGCCTTGGCTCTCCTCTGCGCACACCAATAGGTAAGTCTTGCTGGTGGCCACATCGCTGGCCCAGATTAGTCCCCCTCGCCTCGCAGGTGCCCTTTGGAAGAGGCTGGGGTGCAGCTCATGCTCAGCCCTTGCCCTGCTGGCATCAACGGTACCCATGGGGGTTTCCCCTGCAAGAGGCATGCCAGAGGTGAGGGGCAGAGCTGGGGTTTTGAAGCGATCCCAGTTCCTGGGGAGAGTCTCTTGGAAGGAAACCCGCTTCACCGAAGGCACGCAGTGCATGTAGGACAACCAACCTTCCTCCTACAAGTTGCAGCATCCTTCAGCATCCTTCGCTGCTTGCATGAGTGGCTCTGCCCCGAGCTGCAGCAGCGTGTGGCTGGGGGCTACACAGGGGGTGTTTTCTGAGAGGTCACTAAGCAGAGCTGGGGTTTTCACTCTATTTCTCTTCAAGGCACTCTCAACGTTTGCCCTTCTGTTCCTGCTGCAGACTCCACTCTCTTGTGGTTGTCCCTAACCCTCCTGCACCAGGCCCTGCCATCTGCACACTTCTGCTAGAACAAACTTCCAAGGGACTGATGTTGATTTCACACTTTCCTCCTCCCTTTGCCTTCTCATTCCCTCTTGCATTAGTATGTCCTGAACATGATGTCCAAGCTAGAAAGCAGCTAGAAGGACATCCAGAGTGGTCTTTCATAGTGGGTAAAACCTGGAAGACGAGGGGCCTGTGCTCTGTGCATAAGGTGGTTTGGAACCCAGGTGCAAAAGGCAGTGGGACAGCAGGAGAGTCGGACAGCAGCATTCCTTGTACACCTCTGCCCAGGGCTGGAGGCTGCACAGCTCCCATCCCCATTGCTTTGTAGAGCTCAACATTTCCCCACAACAGCAGAGCCCCTTATCCTCAGGAAAGGTTATTCTGGGACGTTGGAGTTGCATGCTGTCAGGTGCCGAGCACCCACATTGCCATGAGGTGGGTGTGCTTTTCCATGCTTTGGATGTTCACACTTAAGATCCAACTTAAGATGTTCAGCGGGCTTATCCTGAAAGCTGTCAGGGATCTCTGTGGAGAGACGTGCCAGGCACGAACCTGGCTATACAATACTCCTTGCTGTTTGCACACATTCCCTTCTTTGGCACCACCAGTCCTTGAGGCTCAGACTGACTCCGCACATTCAAGAGCTCAGAGGTCCTGACCCAAAGCAGAGGCTGCTGCTGCGTCATGTCTGTGCCTCCCCAGCCTGTGCTTCCTGCACTGGGAGACTCACAGGAGCATCCAGCTTCAGGCTACCTGTGGAGAGGGGCCATGGGAATTTGGTGCTGGGATCACTGGAAACGTGGGCTCAGAGGAACTCCTGAGAGCTGGGAGAGATGCTCATCCCCCTACGGCACACAGAACCTGCAGGTTTGAGGCTCCCTCACTCTCACACCTTCTCTGCTCTCTTACACATCCCTCGTCCCAAATCCCTGCCTGCCCACAAGCGTGCCCTGGAGGCCAGCCAGGGGTTGTGTTTGCTTTAAATCTGTGCTTGTACAGATGAGAGTCTGGGTTAATTCCCATGTTCCCCCTCACAGCTGCTTTTGTAGTGATTGTGTGTACTTGTGGTCACATTGGGGCAGTCCTCCAGGGTCACCCTATAGTCAAGTGTCCTGCAGTTGTGTGTAAAGATGCAATGAATGTTCTGCTGGTGCATCTAAACTGGACACCTCCTGCACTCACCCCACAGACCAGGCGCTGCAAATGCTTCCTGACTCTTCTTGGTAAAAAAAAAAGCTGCAGCTGTATCATGCCACAGGAAGCAAGCAAGCAGGGAGATTAAGGGACATCAGGTCTGCAGCCTGGTGATGGCGGAGAATTTGTGGGGAAAAAATTACATAGGATCTAGAAAATAGATAGGAGCTTGGAGAAGTAAAAAAAAAAAAAAAACGCCCAAAGCAAAACAAAAAAAAAAATCCAAACCCAAAACCGTACCAAAAAAAAAAAATCCCACCCAATTTTTGTATCAATCCAGGAAAATTCCCTCCTGACCCTAATCTGGCAATAGCGTTAAGCCTAATGTGTGAGCAGACTTCTGGGACTGTAAT